GAAAGAGACACAATTTATAACTAAACCAATTCACTCCAAAAATCAAAGAAATTTGAGGCAAGGCAGCTGACTTTCCAGGGCGTTGCATGTGTGTGCAGGCAATTAATAACCAGATCTTAAAGGACAGGGAGATTTGAGCTTGCATCTGGGACATGATTGCATTGAATTGAAAACACCTCTTACGTACAATCTCCTTAAAGTCAGATATTGTATTTTAAATGTTTTAAGAATGAAAGAGAATAAAGGAGCGATTAAAAGTCTTGACTGCTACTGAGAAGCTAAAAAGGAGAAGTGACCAACCAAATGCGAAGGTGACTGGTGATTGTGACTAAGAGCAGTTTTAGTAGATTGTTCTGGGGTGTGGACCAGAGAAAAGGAAGTAGGGATATTTTAAAACATCTCTTTGAGTTAGTAGTGAATAAAGATTACCATCTGTTAATCTAACTGTAACATTGATTGACACTTCCTAGCATTTTCTCCCCATTTCTTAAGTATTTCAGTAAATAATACCATCATCCACTTAATTGCTCAGGTAAGGAACCTAGGATTCATCCTCGATACCACTGTTTCCCTCACCCCAAGTTCACCAGGAATTCATTTTAGCTCTACTTCCAAAATGTATTCCGAAGACTTACTTCTCACCGCATCCACGGCTAATCCCACAGCCCAAAGAGTTTCAGACTGTCTCTTGAGTGGACTATGGCAACAGCTGCCAACCAATTTCCTTTATTACATTCTTGCCATCCTTCCCCCAAGCGTCAACACAGCAGCCAAAGTGACCTTTTTATAATGGATAAATCAGAATTTATCACTCTCCTGTTCAAAACACTCCAGCAGCTTTCCATTATAACTAGAATAAAATCCACACTTTTTACCATGATCCCTGCCAGCCTCTCCAAACTCATTGTACACCACTACGTCTGTCATTTGCAAGGCTTCTACCACATTGGTTGCCTTTCAGTTCCTCTGACAGATGAATCTCATTTCTACATCTGGAACCTTTAAGAACTACTGATTTGTGCAGCTCTTTGCTGCCACAGTACCTCTGTGCATTCTAAATAAGTGTATGTTAAAATTTTAATGCAGTTTATAATATTCTGGGTTCATCTCAATTTGCAAATGATTCAGATTTCAGATTTTTAAAAAAACTGAAATAATTTTTATATGGTTAGTTTAGTACTTAAAAGTAGCACAGGACATCAAAATATTAGAGTCTCAAAAGCTTGCAATGACTATTGAATAATTGACTATTTTTTAAAATTTTGGACACTATGAAAAAATAGAAAAAGTACAACATTTTGTCATGTTTGTTTCAGATATGTTAATTTTGGTTAAAGAAATAAAATGATACAGATATGACTGAAGACATCTCCGCTCCCCTCCCTAGTCTCATTCCCGAATTCTCCCCAAATGCAACCACTATCATGAAATTACTACGTATATTTCTAGTCCATATTTTTATATTTTTACTACAATATATACATACCCATGAATAGTAGTTAGCATTGCTTTATACATTTTCTGAATTTTAGATAAATGCTCTCTTACTCTGAAACTTGATTTTTCACTCAATGTTTTTGAGTTCTGTTCCTGGTAATATATATAGGTCTTTTTCCTTTATTTTAACATGTCTTTCCCCTTATTGATAGACATTTATGTTGTTTTCTGTCTTCTCTTATTACAGACAATGCTGCATTAAATAGATTTGAATGTGTCTCTTGGCTCATATGTCTCTTTTCTCTAGAGCAGTTTTCAATCCTCTGCACATCAGAATCACCTGGGAAGATTTTTTCTTAGTAATCTACGGATGCCTGGCCTCATTTATAGAGATCGGATTTTAACTGGTATATGATGGGGTTGAGACATCCTTACTTTTCTTAAAGCTACCTAAATGGTTCTTTTAAAATATAATATTTCTTTTTACTCTGGAGTCTACGTAGCATTGTATCAAAGTGGAATTAAAAGAATAATAGTAAAAATGAAGGTGAGGAAAGTAAAGAGAAATACAAAATCCAGGACTGGGATTTTAAAAAATATTTCACACTATCATGCTATAGTCGATCAAGAAATTGGGCTATAAATCAGACAACTGAAAAAGAGAAACCTAGTCAGTTACACCACTCAGTGCCGATAATCTTAAAACAACCAACATTTCATGACAGAATATGAATGTTCTTACTAAGACAGAACCTGTGCTGATGGTCCTCATAAAGACTGTGATGCAATAAAGTGTTTTCTGTAACATCTTCATAGAAGAGGCAAAAACTGACTTTATAAAGCCATTGTGTATTATGAGTGGCAATGTGGCTACCGAAAAAATACATTGTCATATCTCTACAGCAGTCTTTGCCGATCTCTATTAACAATTACCTACAATTCTTTGTCTGCCTCATTAGACTGTAAGCCCCTCAAGGCTCATGATCATCTCTTATCTCTAGTACTTGGCACAGAGTTGGGCACATAGTAGGCCACTAGTTTTGTTGAAAGGATATTATGAATTCTGTTTTACTTTGATCCATTGGCATTTACCTCGAGCACGATCCAATAATGTTCCTTCAGAAGTATAAATATTTAACCCATGTTGTAACGTGATCCTTACTAACCATTCTTCTACAGCTGCAGTATCTGTTTGAAAACAAAAGGCAAATAATCAACTATTCCTTAGTATGTTATGTTGGTGAAATTTAAGACTACGTGAACACTACCAACAATGATTACCTTTCACTTCCCAATCATTTTGATTGCATTTATAGATAAGGATTCCCACATTTTTCCTACAAACGTTTTGATGATACAATAAGGAAAAAGACAAGCAAATGGCATTCAGAGAAAAGCGGGAGTGATGTTACTAATATCGGATGAACTAGACTTCAAAATAAAAAAGGTAAAGAAAGATACTGAAGGACACTTCATAATGATAAAGGAAATCATGTACCAAGAAGACATAACAAGTATTAATATCTATGCTCCCAAACAGGGAGCCCCAAATTCCATCCTCCCTGCTTATACATTCTTCTCTAGTACACATGGAACATTCTCAAGAATTGACCACATACTGGGACACAGAGATAGCTTCAACAAATATAAGATAAGAGAAATCATACCAACCATATTCTCTGATCATAATGCTTTGAAACTAGAGATCAACTGTAAAAAGAAAGCAGAAAGAACCACAAATACGTGGAGATTAAACAACATGCTACTGAAGAATAACTGGGTCAGAGAAGAAATAAAAAGAGAGATCAAGAGATACATAGAAATGAATGATAATGATAGTACAACATATCAAAACTTTTGGGGCATGGCAAAAGTGGTCATAAGAGGAAAGTTCATATCATTATCAAAAATAAGAATGAGCCCAAATAAACAACCTAATGCTTTA